GGCGCTTTGGAATTTCAACGTGCGACGCAGCGCACACTACTACAAATGTTTAAAGAAAAAAAAAGGCTGGTTAAAATAAATTAACGGTTTAAAAAAAGTCACAATAAAAGTTCCATACGGACCAGGCCAGCTCTTGGTGCACGTAGGGGAGTTGACGGGTGCCGCTGAAGGTCTCGCCGGCTTGGTAGACGACGAGGGTGCCCGGAATTGCAGCCGTCTCGATACGTTGCGCGGGTCACTCCATGCTCGCCGCCTACGCGAGACTCGCGACACCGACGACCGCACTTGTTGCTGGCTGTACGTCAACTGCCTATTCCGATGCAGTCCTAACCTCTTCAGGGGCGTACACGTGACCCCGTCTCATCTGGGGGTAATTTTCCTTTTTTAGGCCGCCGGTTCCCCTTTCGGTGCAGGTGCAGGGAAGACAAGCCGGCGCCACGCTGGGTCGTTAGTCGCCGGATGTCGTCCCCCAAACACAAAAGCGCCCCTCTTTGGAAGATGGGGCCCGCGGATAATCCGAAAATTGGAGTCGTTAATGACATAGCCTCCTTCTTAAGAATATTACTCCGTAATATTCAAGAAAATCACAAACGCACAATGTTCGCGAGCTTTCAGTGTTCGGGTCGTCCACCGATGCGTTTTCTTTTTCGCGCACCATTTCACTGACGTGGACGACATGGCAGAGAACACTTGACACACTACGCTTCACGGTCACAATACGATGTAAGTCATAACCCGCGCACCACGACACGGACATACACATGAAACACGAAAAGAAAGTCTCAAAAATGCTGCACGATTCAAGGAAAAGGCACGTAGGCATTCTTTCATGCCACATATTCAAAAATACGGGCTGTAAGCGGTATTGTAAAATCACTTACTTACACGTAGCTTCCGACAAGGGTGAATGAAAAATTATTCGGTATGATCATTTGTGCATAGTTCTGTAACATGCTCCACGCTAAAGCGCTTCCTTTCAAAATAATAATAGAAAGAAACGTCTTGAATAACATAGCGCCATGTTTATCACACATGCGTACCGTGATAGACTGATTATATGACCAACCGGTCTCACTAAAGATTCAACTAATTAAAATAACCATGTCCCTCAAACAGAGCTTCCCTAACTAAACGTGTAGTAAGTTCAAACATAAAAACATCGTCTACAAACACACGGACGACACAAGCAAACAATGAATTAACTAAGCTATTGGTCCCCCTCATTAATGGAATGCTCCAAAATCGAAAAACATAACTGAACATTGTTTCGAAAAACAAGTCATTTGCCTTTAAGGTTACTTTTGAGTGTCGATGTACGCAAATTTCACACGTGCTCGAGGTGGCCGTGCTCGTGGAGGAACCGTTTGAAGCAACCAGGGCAGACAGAACAGTGGACGGCCGCTACCCCGACGTCTGTTTTCCGCTAGTTTGCCCCGTGGCAGCAAGCCATCGTCGACACCGCGTTCTATGGAAATGGGCTTTGCACCCGCGTCGCGTCGCCTAGGCATATTGCGCTCCTTCCACATGCATTCCGCTCCTCGAACACAAGAATGGAGTGGTGGGGGTTGGCTACTCGGAGCACCAGGTACAATCGCCTGCCTCCCCCCTCTACCTGTCGGGTGGTTTGGAGCATGGCAACCAACTCTACTGGCGAATGCCACAAAACGCAATCGAAGCTTTCGTTGCGTTGATTGCCGTTTGGCAATTCTCGATTTCATGAGGGGATTTACACCCTTCGCTTCTCTCTTGTTCTTGCTTTTGCGGTGTCTTTTTCCTTTTTCACGTTGCTCAGTGCTCACTTTCGAGAAGTCCGCTTGCAACATTTGCAGAGCAGAACTTCTTTCGCTTGTCTCTTCGGCTATAATGCCTATACAGTCGGGATTTTCCGTTAACTTGTGGACACCCTGACTTGCGGGAAGCTTGACTGACGGCTGAGCAATGCAAGCGTCTTCCTCGGGGCTGCGCCGCTCGCACCTGGGAGAACTACTTGCCCCAACATTGCCCAGCTCACAGTGTGCGTCAGCACCCGACTGTGCCCCGCTCTCTGTACAGGGGTCCTCGTCTGCCGGGCCGGTTGTACTGTGAACATCACAGTTAGCTGCCATGGCGACGCGCATACAGGGTGGCTGTGCCAAGTCAATCACAGATGGCATTTCTGTATCGACAAGACTTTCCAGGCACAGCGCCTCGTCGCCATCACTGCGGCCTTCAGTGGCTTTTGTGGCCACAATGGGACTTTCGGCAGCTAACTCAGTAGGTTCACTCGCGAACCTGATGTCCGTCTGAACAGTACAAAATTTTTGCCCGGCTCTCAGCGGTTTGGCACCTACGGTCTCTTTGCCCCTTTCGTGCCTTGCATCCCAGGTCTCAAGCATGCGTCGCCTACTTTCGATTTTCTGGCGCAGTAGCTGCACATGATTCTGGTACGACTGCTTGTTCGGGACACGGTCGGTCACGCTACTGGGCGTTCTAGCGGCTAGGCTAAGACCCAACTGCGTCGCACACAGTCCCAGGCGCTCTTTCTCCTTCTGAATTCGGAGCCGGGATTTTTCCCTTTCTTGCTCCATCTCAAATTCCGCGAGTTGTCTGAAATATGCGCGTTCCGCATCACGCTCCTCTTTACGCTTAGTGCGCTCTCTTTCCACGAAATCGTACAATTCTCTGCCCTCAAAGCCAAAACCCCTGCCCTGTTCAATCAGCTTATCAAACTCCGTGCCGTCCATTGTTAAAACAGTTGTCCACCAACAAAACAATAAAAGGACGTCTGCATATCACGCTCAGAGCTACGTCAGTCTCTCAGACACCACCACGTGGTCGGCCAGTCCTGTCGCGCGGACGCCAGATAATGTCACACACTTCGGGTGAGGCCCCGCCGATCTAACATCGACGTGCGGCAGACTCGCAGGCTTCCACTTTACGCTTCGGCCTGCGACGCCTGAAAGGCCTCGAAGTGGCACATTTCGAGTTTATTTGCGGGTTGGTCGACCCGTGCGGGGTTGCACGTGTGGTGATGTGTGGGCCTGACCGACGCACTCATAGAGCAGACACAGAGTTTGATTACACATAAACAAGCATTTAATTAAAACAGGGGCAAAGGCAGGAGATTACAAAAATAACAAAGGAGGAAATCTGATACGCGCGATGTAAACAACTGCTATATAACAGAACATGCTTAAAAGCCTTACAAAAGATACAGGCTAAAGACAAATATGCGGAACATTAATAAAATAACAACAAGATGGAAATCGTAAAAAAGGGTTACAAGGAAATAATTACAGAATGCTCATGGTGGCGCTTTGGAATTTCAACGTGCGACGCAGCGCACACTACTACAAATGTTTAAAGAAAAAAAAAGGCTGGTTAAAATAAATTAACGGTTTAAAAAAAAGTCACAATAAAAGTTCCATACGGACCAGGCCAGCTCTTGGTGCACGTAGGGGAGTTGACGGGTGCCGCTGAAGGTCTCGCCAGCTTGGTAGACGACGAGGGTGCCCGGAATTGCAGCCGTCTCGATACGTTGCGCGGGTCACTCCATGCTCGCCGCCTACGCGAGACTCGCGACACCGACGACCGCACTTGTTGCTGGCTGTACGTCAGCTGCCTATTGTTGTTAGTGGTTCATGAGGAAAAGGAAGAAGGCACCTAATTTCTGTCTGCCTACAGGCGACACGGCGCAGTTCCGATGCAGTCCTAACCTCTTCAGGGGCGTACACGTGACCCCGTCTCATCTGGGGGTAATTTTCCTTTTTTAGGCCGCCGGTTCCCCTTTCGGTACAAGTGCAGGGAAGACAAGCAGTGCCACGCTGGGTCGTTAGTCGCCGGATGTCGTCCCCCGAACACAAAAGCGCCCCTCTTTGGAAGATGGGGCCCGCGGATAATCCGAAAATTGGAGTCGTTTGTGACAGTGATGCCGTTTCAGAATTCAGAGGGTTGAAATGGTCGAAAGCCATATCAGAGAGAAGGGGAGGGAATCGCGCACGAATAACGGAGTAAAAACAAACGTGCTGCTTGAAGTGTGGCAGCATGGGCTAGTTGGTATGGCATGACGATAGTTTTAGCGCGAGAACAAAACGACGACACAGAGACAAGAAGGACACGAAAGACACGAGCGCTCGTGCCCTTCTTGTCTCTGTGTCGTCGTTTTGTTCTCGCGCTGTAACTATCGTCGCGCTGCTTGAGTTGGCAAAACATTCGAGTGAGCAGCATTTCCGAGTTCCTCCAGGCCTCAAGTCTTTCCCTGTCGCAACTTGGGCACATTTTGCGCCACACAGCCGGGTGTCCCATGCCAGGGAAAACAAGCGAAAACCGAATATTATGTTGAACCTTCGGTGAGTTAACTGTTTCCTTCCTCTGTGGGGTTGGACCGGTCCGAGCGCGATTGAGCTTCAACGCGCGGCTTTAGCCGCCCGAGTTATCCCGAGCTGCACTAAAGCTTCCGAAACGCTTTGCGAGCTATAAATAGCTTCTTTGCTATTCTATAGATTATTTCTACAGCATTTTCCCCCTCCTGCCAGCTATAGTGAAACGCTGAAGGGGCTGGCGGCGCTGGTGTCGCCGGCTGCGATGCTTATCTAAGATGGCGAACGTGCGGTTTTAGGTGGCGGATATGTATGAAACTTTAGCTTAGACGTTTCTATGCCATCCCGCTTACCATCTAAACGTTGCCGGATATGAAAAGGCACACACCTTGGATCGCAGTCCTCCTACTCTGTGTAACTGCCGAAGTTCGCTCGAGAAGCTATCAGGGTGAGTACTGACGTTCGCGCCTGGGTTCTCGCGAACGGGCTCACACTCTCGCCATTTTGCGCTTGGTTTAGAACAGATGTCACATTGTTGGGGCCAGACAGCGTGTGCGAATCGCCGTGTTTTGTTTACATTTTGATTCAGAGCGGTGTATTTTGCGGTGGTGCCTCGTCCGATCGGAGTGTTGTATTGGCATGTTTGCATATTAACAGCCGTCACGCGTTAGCGTTTTAGATTAGTATGTGTTATGTGACAATGAATATCCAAGCCTCGGTGCATCACTCCAGCTTGGTTACGTCACGGTAGTTCAGTTGTGTATCGAGACCCTGGTGCGCAATGCTGTCTGACCTGTGCATCAAAGGTGTGTTGTCCGCAGATAGGTGTTCCGATTCTCATATTAAGCATGGCAGCTTTCGTTCCGCATATGTACATTTTCGCGCTTACTGTTTTCGCTATATGTACTCGGTTTTCTGTCGGTGTTTGTGTCCTTATCCAATGGCAAAGTGGATGAGTCTTAGTTACCTAGACGTATTTTCATGCCATTCAAGTGGCGCCGAATTGCGAAGTTATACCTACGTGCACTTTCTCTTTAACAGTTTCAGTCGGTGACCAGCACTACATTGACTGTCTCGGTTTTGTCGCGGTTGAAAGTTTGCAGGTGTTAACTGTAAGGAAAAATACAATAGAACCGTAATTACGGGTTAGAAACGAGATCGCAGGTACCGTCTGGCCTTATGCGACACATTAAATTCACCCATTTCTGAACTTGGATAAATACGAAAAAAAAAAGGTGTTTCAACATAGTTTTAAGTCAGAATCTTGCAGGTATTTTGCGACACCTACACAAAGCACATGCACTGCGAGTGTTGCATGTGGTTTGTGCGATGCATAATGTGCGTTCTTTACATGATCCAGGAAGTAAAGTATTACTAAGATAGCCAACACAGCAACATTAGTAGATGTATTGCTGCAATTTGATTAATGCAGTCATTGTCATCTGCATTAGATATACTCCTTGAACTTGTTCTGAAACAAAGCCAGTCATATTCGCACTAATACGGTATGCTTGTCATGGTTAAAGCAATTTTTGCCACACGTTTGTCTCCTTTAATTCAATTTTTGCCACACGCTTGTCTCTAGTGCGCGACGTGCCTTTAAACTCAAGACTGACAGTGCCTTTGGTAGTAGTATATTAGCAGCCAGTTTATGCAACATGACTAGTGAAACTGCAATGCAGCCTTGCTCAGGGCTATTGAAAGGTGTTCATATGTTTTTGCATTTGTTATTGTATAAACGGTCATAATATCTATCAGCTGCACATTAGATGGAGTGCACAAAGTTGCCTCATTTTGAAGCATGCTAAAATATGAAGACAGTGGAAAGCCAGTGTGATATACTTTCTTTGGTACGAGTGGCAAGATAGTTAAACATCATTTGTCATTTGGTTTTTATTATCATAAATTAAAATTAGGTCAATGAATCTGGACATTACAAATACTTGAGTGGCAGTAATGAAAATGGTTAAACCGGCGTAATTTTCATTTTTATCAATGAATAAACTTGTTTATACATATTCGTAATGTAGCCATACAATATGCAGCCATACAAAATATGGCTGCATATTTTGAGTACCTGCAATATTGCCTCAGAGTAAGCTCAGTAAAGATGTTAATCCCTTATAAAAGCATCAGCAGAATTGGCATGAAACATTAATTTATTAGATGGGAGATAAAGTCGGTGTGAAAATTCTGGGCTTGGTAACCAACATTGAATTTATTGCGACTTAACAATGGAGCAAAATTGGTCCACTTGTAGCAGTAAGGCTATTCTCACTGTCCCCGGACTATCGGTGGCACGCAAGGTGAACCAACATGGCGGTTTGGAGGATAATTGCGAGCAAGTAGGATGGCTTATAAGTGTGTTGTAAAACTTGTTTTGACAAGTGTAATCATGCCAGGCCACTTTCATGATGCGGCATCGAGTTCCACATTGAAATAGATTACAATTACATGCAAAATGAAGGGTAAATGAGTTGAAATTTGCAAACCAACCATTCATGTGATGGTGAAGATAAAACCTCAGCTCAATTTGCGACCATCGATTACCGCTTCATTCTCCGCTGCACTGACCCACTTGTGTCCGCACATGCCGTGTTGACTTCCCATGAATAAATGTTGCAACGATAAACGCCATTTGCGGCTGCCATATGCCACTCTCTACTAATTAAACAGTGGCTGCATTATTTCATCTAGTGTGACCCAGCTCGCGTGCTTGGTGCCTTGAAAGGCCTCATGGGCACAAAAGGGGTAGAAATGCACCATCTATGCCCATGCGATGCATTGTCGCCTGCGAAAACAAATTGCTTCAAGCTGTAATGTTTTGAAGGAATGCAGTTATCTCTCGATAATTAGAAGCATTTTGAAACTTGAATAATTTTGACCACGAGAGTACAACATTGGGATTTATTTGATTTATCTCTGATCATTAAGCTCTTGAAACACTGGTGTCACCAATTTTGTAAGGAAGTTTTTGTAGTTTTGTTAACAAAGACACGTATTTATTGGGTGAATCGTCATGCAGTGGGCTGAAATTAGGAAGCGCTTCGGCGAGACTAACATATATAAGTTTTTATACAACAACACATAGGCTTCGATCAAGATGGCTTCGTAACATCGTGCAGCTGATTTCTAAATGGTGCTAAACAGAAAAATTGCACTAAAACATGTATAAACGTAGCGCACGCGTAAGTTTTGTATTGGCACATTCCCAGTTTGTCCTTTATTTTCTTTTCCACCTCTCCTTCTTAGAACGGCATACAATACAGCATATTGAGAGAGCAAGAAACAACTTTAGGCACTGTCGTTGATTTTATATTACCGGTGGTTTGCAGTGTTGGAACCAAAAGCTTGCCACTATCGTTTCGGCCCAAATAATCACTTCTACCTGAACATAACTGAACACTGTAGTCAGTTGATGACAGGAGCGACTCCCACACATCGAGGGAGAAAGCTTGCAGTGTTGTTTTGGAAGCTGCTTGACTACCCAATATCACATTTCGGAAATGCGAGGGGAACCCTCTATCAAAGCAAATTGAAGTGGCGCAGACTTACCAACAGATTACCACATATCTAATCACCACACATTTTAAAGCAAATTGAAGTGGCGCAGACTTACCAACAGATTACCACATATCTGATCACCACACATTTTACATTAGTATATTTCACTAGAAAAAGTTTGACAATATTTCTGCTGCGAATTTTTTTCGTGCTCCGCGGCACGGTGCCTGTAAGTTGGATATTGCCACTCATTGGTGAAAAAGGCTAACGAAAGCTCTCTGCCTGCATGGCATGTGTTGGCAGGGCTCGCACTAGCCGCATGAAACCGCTGCATTGTCGGTTGATCTTCCTCGAGGCGTTTTCTCTCTGTCCGCTGTGCAGCGCGTCAGTTTAGGGACAGTATGAATGGGACGTAAGAAAAATGGAGCTGTGCTTGTTTCTGCTGCAGTGATGTTGAGGACACAGTGAGATGGATAGTGCATCTAGGTTTTGTGTACCAGACTTGAGGGCAAAAAAAAAATGCTCTGGGACTGGCCATTGTGTCCTCTTGAGTTTGCAGAGTTAGGACTGAAGTTTAATCAAAGTAGGCAACATTGTGCCTGCATTCCTTTGTATAACCCACATCTTGAAATGTGATATCATATGTTGGGGTGGGGTGGGGGGTGAAATCGAGTGATCCAATTTAGTGCAAATAATGCTATTTAAAGTGAAAGTTAAGAGAAACTGATGTCGCCAGTGTGTGAGATAGTTGCATAGGAATTCCTATTGATCTCAGGAAAGCGTCTCCGTGAGCCTAAATGAGCCGTGCTACACCTTTGGAACATAGTCGCAAAATGCTACGGACTGGTAGCTGAGGCTGCTCGCAATACACGAGCCCAACATTATAGTGCAGCACGTGGCCTGGAATTTACAAAATTATTTTCAAATTCAGCTAGAAATCATAGCCCTTGTCTTCTACAAATGATGCCATATATCCAAATGACCAGGCCATATATCCAAATTCACAGCAATTGGCTGAGTTGAGCATCGTGGGCCGCATAGTTACTACGGTTGCCATGTGCGCTCATGCATTAGGGTGCCTCGATGCTCCCCTGTTGCTTCATGCAGGGTGGCGCCATTTATTGCTAGTACGTCCACCATTGAAGTGTCCATGTCTCAAGCCCGTGAAAGCTTTTTGCAACCGCACGCCAGCTGTGTGCTGCTGAGAAACTGGCACGGATATAATGCCGATGTCGCCACCCTTCGCCGAGAGGATGGAGAGGAGGAGCATCGAGGCACCCCATCGCGCGCGTTTGTGATCACACTGAAAGTAAACTGCACAATCGAAGAAAAGGCACTAAAGTTCATACTGTAGAAGGACTCAAAGCTGAGCCAGTTAGTGACAGTACTTGAACATATCTTAACACAGTGCACGACTACAAGAACACAAGGGAAGAAGGGACTGTGCTCCAGTTTGTCCCTTCTCTTGTGTCTGCCTAGTCGTGCGCTGTGTTAAAAAAAAAAAACAAAATTTCAATTTCTCACGAAACCTAATATCCTTCCATCTTGCCATTCCTCCTTGTTTAGTTTCCAGCATGTTCATAAGGATGCGAGAAAAGAGAAAGCAATTACAGCATGCGCGAATCTTAGCTCTGTGCATACTTGACGGATTTAGAAACAATTGCGGTCTTTGATTCATGAGGCAATGAACTCCTTTAGTGAAGCCATTCAATGATTACTTGGAAAAGTTTTGCAGAACCCCTTTAATGTATTCACAGTAACCTTTTGCTTACTGAGGACGATAGCTGAGCTTGTTCACACAGTTCATATCACTCTTGCCAAAGATTAGCTGGGCTTGTTCACGCTGAAAGATGCATTTGGGGGTAGCATAGTTAAGCTACACTGATTCTTTTCTGAGTTCTCTTTGGCTTGAACAGATGCGGCAGTAAAAAAAAATATATATGAACCGTGCTCAAAGCACTGTAGGTATTTAGGCATTCTGCTAACTGGAGTTGGCAAATGGCATCCTGCTGTGAGTGCAAGGAACCTGCACATGCTGATAGCAGCTCTTTCCAGAAAACAGAAAACGCTTGTTCAGTGAGGTTTTGTGGAATGAATTATTTCTGTTCTTCTGCGAGTGCAATAGTGACGACACAGAGCATCAAATTTTTTTCTAAATTATTGGATTCGGACATCATTTTATGCTCTGTTTCACACATCATGTGCAACGTTGTGGAAGCTAGCGAGACTTCTTGCAGTCGATGTGTTTGTTCGCAACAAAAAGTAGTTCAATGTTCTTACGACCAAAAATTTAATTTTTGTTTGTTATTAGGTAAGAATCATCGAAGATAATACGTGCCTTACAAACAAAAACGCCATTTAACGTCTGTTATTGTGTGGCTGTATAGCTTAGTTTTCGCATGACGTCACATACAGGCTCTCTATTCTGGGTACGTCAGGATGGCGGCCACCTGGACTTTCAGTGTCAAAGCAGATTAGAACACTACAGGGTCGTTCGGAACTCGCGTTCTTTTGTGCTCACCCCGCTTTTTTCTCTTTGCCAGTCGCGCCAAAGGGGACCACAAAGAAATGCGAATGTGCATCGGCACTAATCAGATTTATCGCGAGCGACCACGAAACACTCAGAGTTATACGCTGTTCTGGCCGAACTTCTTGCATAGCTTCCACAGCGTTGCACCTGGTGTATGAAACGGAGTATAACGTATTGGCAGTGGGAGATGATGGATGTGTACAAACTCGACTGTTGTGTCCAAGACTTTCTTTCACGGGTTCGCTTGTCCATGTGGATTATTTTTTAAATTTGAAAGATGCATTTACTGCATCGAAGATAGGATAGGCTCAGTCACTTGCCATGGTGTAGTACGGAAAAGCCAATCTTCTGCATAGTTTCTACAAAAATTATTTCGTTTGTATCTAGCAAATTATGCACCTTTAAATAATTTTTTTTAGCTGTATGATATGGATAAGCTTCACTCTGTACCACTAATAGATTGTAGCCAAATTAAGATTGTTTTTTCAAGCTCTCTTAATTAGTGATGCATATTGTTTTTTCAAGCTCTCTTAATTAGTGATGCATATTGTGTGCTTTGTGCATGAGATGCAGCAGGTGTAATGCTCATAGAAAGGCGCTGGCATGTGCAGGCAAGTGTATGTGCAGTCTGGCAAGCCGCTAGATGCACTTCTGAGTAATTTACAGCTGGACTTGGTATGTGGCAAGTGACAGGCTTGGGCACTAAGAGTTCAAAAGGAAACTTGGCTAGTTTGCTGCATCGCTGATCTTGCGTTCCTATTATGCCACTTTGATGTATAAACATAAATAATCCATCTTTCACACTGCAAATATTTATAATGTCATTTACAACGAATGACATTAGTTTGTTATGTCATTTGTTTACTGTCACATGGGAAAACTAATGCCATTTGACGAAAATGACATTTTTGGTCGAATGAGTTCCCAAAACACATTCGCATTCGATTTCAGACCAAATGAGTAGTCTCAACGCCAGAGACTTTTAGAGAAATGACTTTTATCTTATGTATACGTAACTTTTATCATTTGTAAATATCTTATTCTTACTAGATCAAGGTATCACTGGTTTGGTGGCATAATAGCACGCCCGAAAGTCTCTAAAAATTTAAAATAAACTACTCTCAACTACAGCAGCTGGATGCCGGCCATGTTTTAATTTTTTGTTCTGTTGTTGTTGTTGCCTGTATCGCAGATGTTTATTGTCCAATTGCACGTGTTGTGGTGGCTCAGGTGGTGACTACGTGAAATCGCTGCTGCAGTCTCATTTCTGCAGCCGGGAAGTCAATCATGCGCCTTGCTTCAGCTCATCTTGCAGCTGTACTTATGCCCGGTCATGTCGGTGGCCATGTTGATTTGGTGTTGTGTGAAACGACCGCGTTGATATTCTAGAAGCTCCTTTTTACTTGTAAAAATTATTTTTGTAGACACACGCATGTTTTATGCGAGCTTTAGTACGTTTTTTTTCTCCCAAAATCCACAGCTCAGGAGTGCAAAGGTCAATGTCATCATTTCAAAATGACGTTTGTTTTCGTCGTGTGACAGCACAAAGGTGAATTGACATTAGGTCAGGTTAATGCCATTCATCGTAGATGACATTAGATCTGCTGTGTGGCAGGGGTATTAGAGGTTAAAGGTCTTTTATACTGGTTTTATAGTGTATATAAATGCCTATTCTTGGTGTTTCTGTATAAATGTGTAAGTGCCTCTAAATGCCTACTTTTGAAATCGACACCTGTATAAAAACTATTTAACCTTAAATTTCACTTTGAAGTGCAGTTTGAGAATGGTATTTGTGTTACCAAGCAACATTGACCTTTTGGAACTCAATGGGATTCAATACATTTCTGTTGTTCAACCAGCTTTGGGAAATCAATTTCACCAGAGGTGAAATGGGACATGCCGCTCACCATACGCCACCGCCCTGACATCGTGCAAGGAATTGGAGCAGGAGGAGATCTTGAGGAGAAAAAAAGATGCCACTTTTGCAACCTTAGTATCTGTAAGGAGCGGGGAGAGGGGCAATAATGGGAAAAAGTAGAGCGGAAGAAGAGGAGAGTTGCATGGCGTCCATGGCTGACATTATGGTTGGCTTCTACAGCATGTTGTCTTGTGCAGCATCCCTAAAGAATTGAAGAACCTCTTTGAAGGTCTGGTTTTGGCGGTGGGGAGAGAATAGAAAGTCCCTCTGTGTTGTCACTAAAAGGTGAACATTAAATGCGTAACCGTGGAGTACTGTCAGTAGAATGGAGAGTATAGGTCGAAGTGTAGACCTGTAATTATGTCGATGTGTTTGTTCCAGGTTAGATCATAAGTTAAGTTCACATAAGCATCATCTATATCTGAATAACACATCATTAATGCAGGACCTTTTGTGCACTTACTATATAAATATACTGTGACAAATTAGTAACACTATAGGCAAGATAAGGTATTGCAAAAAAAAAAAGAATGAAAAGATTAGGTCTGGTGTTCTTTTTTTTGTTTTTTTTTTGCTTGGGCATGCGTGGGTTCCTGATATTTTAGTTACCTTTATTTATTATTAATATTTTTCATATTTCTCACTGAACAGATGGCAATGAAATTTATTTTCATTTCCTTATTGTAACATGCTGACATTATTATTTTGCACCCCCTCGTAACATGGGGGGATTAAGAGCTTGCACGGAAGTAATAGTGTACATGCTAGTTTTTAGAAAATGTTCCCTGTATATAAATTGCTTTCCCTCATCTACTTCAGGACGGTCATGGCGTTTAAGAGATGGCCTGCTGCTGGAGCGGAGCTTGCGTCTTCGGCCCAGCTGGACTCCCAATGGAGGCTGGAGGGAACCAGAAGAACGAATGGCAGAAGAGCCGCAAAATAGGCCATGGGAAATTAGTCGTTCGAAAATCCGAGAGACATCTGAACTCGAGGAACGTGACTCCTTTGGCGGCCCATCCGATGCAGAGGCTGCCGGCAGAGATGTTTCTAGTCTGGAAACCTTTGTGGATAGGTCTCTTAGTGGAGGGGGTGAGCTGAAATATGTGTTCCTTCACATAACTGGTGTTCTTTTATTGTGGAAGTGATTGGTGTTACTGTGTGATGTTTTGTCGCTAGTTAAAACAACACACAAAAGTGGTAAAATGTCATAAAGTAAGCAACTCTAACTAGGCTAAGAAGAACTTCTCAAGTAATTGGTATCAGTTATTTGCTTGCTTAGTTGCTTCTGTAAATCTTAAGAATGTGGCTTAAAGCAACACAAAACGGAACTGGAATTAGCTACAACCATCTCTCTTTTATCCTCGCATATATAAGTGTTGCAAACTGGACCCCTCATACAGTAGTGGTAGTGACCGTTTTCTCTTTCACAGTCAATTTCATGTGCTCAGATATTGTGCTGTGTGCTTTAGCCTTCACTGCCAATTCTTTTCAAAATACAAGTTTATGAGACCATTTTATTATCTAAAAGCAGCATGACACTATACGTGCAGAACGCATATAACGATAGCATGGACCATTTCTTTATACCCATATTAAGAAGTGCAATTTTACTGTTGTCAGTAAGTATAACTTAAAGGTATGAAATTATTTCCGTCTCGATTCTGAGGACAAATTGTGCACTTATATTTATGCGACAGTGCAAAATGTATAGTTGTTCTTCTCTCTATTTAAATAGTGGGTAAGGCACTGTATGCCAAAATTGATTTTATGTAATTAACGATTCATGCTTGACTGATAAAAGGGCTCTTTACTGAAAATATTGAGGCTTTCACAAAATGGGGATATGGGGATAGAGATTCCACAGAATGTGGGATATGTCATAACATGAAATTACCTTTTGCCAAGCTAGATATTTGAAAAGGCTGTGTCTGCATGGCCATAGTAAAAAATACAAATTTGAAAATAAATGAAAGCGAGAAGGAAAGATGCAAGGGAAGGAAGGGAGGTTAAACAGGCAGACGTCTGCTTTGCTACCCTGTACTGAGGTAAGGGATAAAGGGGGCCAAAATAGAACAGAGGGAAGAAAGGTGCACATAATCACGATTGACTTGGGAGACCACATACAGTCTGCAGGCGGTCTTTCTAAATTGGAAATAAATTGCAGCTTAGAGCAGGAAAACCTGTTTAGCTAATGATAAGTTCTGGACAAATCAGGCTCCACATATGAAAACTAAAACTGTTTGATAAACAATAAAAAAAAAAAGCAAGTGTGTCTGAAAGATCTGCAAAAACATTCTTACACCACAAATGGGTGCTTCAGTTATACCATTGTTTAACGAAGTATACCAAAGCTGTATCATTGTTTCTTCATTGTTCTTTCTATTTATTCACAAAGCAGTGTTCACAGAAGGCAAATATTAAAATTGAAACGAGCGTCTCTAAACACATTCGGGACAAAATATTAGAATCAAGTTATTTAGCTTTACATTTTTCGCGGAGGGCCAACCTGATGCTATAAGCAGTGGAATGCTTTGCCCTGCCTTATACCCGTGCCACACGGGCAGAGAAAATGAAATTTACCTCTTAATGCCTTCAGATTGAATGTCATTCGCGCGGTGTCACACGGATGGATGAAATGGCATTCGCCCAAATGTCATTCGTCACCTAATGCCATCGGCGGAACTCATTGGACTGAGAAATGCGTACTCTCGACGGCACAGCTGATGAAGTAACTATATAAAACGACATTTGATTTAACTGGAAGGAAACTTTTCTCGTCCTTTATTCACACTAATTACATAAACAAGTTCTTAAAAACTTATCTTCAGCTGGTAGACGCTTTGAAATAAATGCGACAGGCCCCATTTTTTTTTTTTACGCTGCATATCAGACTAGTTTTGGCTTAAGTTGCTACACGGTCGGTTGCAACGTCGAACGAAATCTAACGGCAGCGTAATATGCTTGTGTATACATTTATTTATTATCTGATGTGTAGGAAGCTTGTAAACGCTTGTTTATTTTTTTTAATTGCTACTCACCCAATGCTCACGAGGAAGGTGCTGCGATCAACATCATCAAGTCAAAGGTCATTTGCTTTGGACATGTAGCAGCGCCGCCAAAAAAAATGTCATTCGGGAACTGAATGCCTTCGCTACAGAATGTCATTTTCTATGCCGGTGTGGCACAGGTATAAGTGATGATGTGATTAGATGCAGCACTCTGCATGTGCTACATAGAACGCGAGAACTTTTTTTAGGTAAGTGAGTGTGAATGTTGAGGAAAGGATTCAGATGCAGACAGAAAAAGATACCCTCTTGCGGCTTCCAAGTGAGTGTCTTTCCTTTCTTGCTAGTAGTGTGTTTCTTTTCCTCAGCATCAGTGCTCACCTACCTTGAAGTGTCGCACCAGTTACCGTATTTACTCGCGTAATAAACCCACCTTTTTTTTTTTTTTTTTTTCAGAAAAGTTCACGCCAATTTGGGGGGAGGGTTCATTACGCTGGAAAAAAGTCATGGGAGTTACAACAGCGAAAATTTCGCATGACGCGCGACGGCTTTGCTTGTTTAGCCCGTTAAATGCACGACGAATCTTTTTTGTAGCCCGCAGGTCTTTTTGTTTCCTCTCGTAACGAAAGCGCACAGATTAACGCCCAAGTGTCGTCCAGCCGCTCGGTTCAAATGCTCCAGCGCTCGCTGTTTGTAACCAGCCGTGTAGCTAGCGTACTGACCTAATGCGCCCTGTACAGCAGGTGTCCCAACTAAGTTCACAACGACGAACCTGACAACAAAAAAGTGGCAGTTTTGCCGCAAGGGCGAAGCAATGAATACGATAGCAACAACTTGGAATGTAACGCTAAGAATGGCAAGCAGATCGAAACGTGCAGCACGCTGTTCATGCACACATGACGCACGAAACAACACACACTGAACGAGAGCGAACTAACAATGTTGACCGCTTGACATGTAGTGTGCTGTTTAAACAAAAACGATGCACTAAGCGTAATCACAGGTACAGATATGAGTGTGAAATAACAAGTAGCAAGTGCCCCAGTTGTTATTTCAGTGTGTTTGAAAAGCGCACTCTTTTCGCAAACGGCACCTGTCCAGCGAGCAAAGGGATCTTTGTGCGCCCTGTCACTAAACTAAACGCAATCGTTCTGGTCAAAGTGGAAGGCCCGCGATTCTCCCCACCGAAACATAAGCATGCACATAGAAACATCTATGTTGCTTCCCCCTCCCTTCATTCGCGGGGCAAAGTACCCGTGGAGGATAAGTGCGCGTCTGCGCATCGTGACCGAGCTGGGAACCGAGCAAGGGCAGCTTTTTTTCTTGAGTTTTCATATACATGGATACATACGTCAGATGGCGGTGCACATATGTTGCGGGTGCACAACACGCAATCGGGGCGATTGGGGCGGTTGCGTTTTGCATGGCCTTCGAGATAGCGAGCGCACGGCATGTCTCTACGTCGCGCGAGCAGCAGTTTGAAGGCCGTGCACTTTGTTTTTGTGCTGCTGTACTTGCGTGGCACTATCAGCAAAAAGTTTTCTCCTGCAACAGATTGCGCTTTGCCGTAAAAGGTGCGACTTTCAAATTTTGATTGACGTCCGCGCTCAAACTGCTCGCAACTGTTTAGCATGGTTGCAAAACTTTGTTTTGACTTTTATTGCATTGTTACTTTATGATATAATTGCTTGATTTAACGCTGTTTCGATCATCATTGGCACTGGCTATCATACTGAAATAAAATGTACATTACAAAAATAATTTTTTAATCTTCTTTTTAAGGCAAATGTGGGGAGCGGGCTCATTATGCGAGTGGGTTCATTACGCGAATAAATATGGTAACTCATAGACTCCTGCTTTTTCGAGGGCCTTCCTTGTTTTTCAAACACTTATCAAACACTTATTCTCAAACCTTCAGAGAAAGTGTGATGAAAGGAAGCTTGTTCTGCACGTTGGAATACAGTGTTAACACATTGTACATTATATAATTGCCTGTGAAGTGATTCTGTGCATGTGGGTTCAGCTCAGTTTTTCTCATGAAAAAATATACCTAGTTCACTCTTAGAGATGATGAATTGTATGGTTTGTTCCTCCTCACCCCAAATATCAAACTTCCATAAATAAATGTCTATATTCCTGCTTGCAGTAGTGTTCTAGATGTTATTATTTTACGTCATATATTTTCTCACTGCAGGTGTCCAGAGAAGCAATGAAAAAGTTGATGAAGGTACCCAGACAGTAGACAATTCATCAGAAGAAGGCGTAACATCAGGAGCACCACATGCAGGGGCATTGAAAGCAGGTCCTGATGATATCCACCCACATGTTGTCAGGAAATCAGCCTCTGTTATCTCTGATATTTCTTTTGTAGGTGAGTGTTCAGGTGTTTGATGACGCCCTTGTGTTCTTCTGTCAGCATGCACAGATGAACATGCAGTTACAGTGCCATCTTGAATGCACTCAGGTGTGACGTATCAGTGTGTAAACATTGTTTCAGCAAAAGCAGTGTCTAGTGATTAAAACAAAGATCGAAAGCAAAAGGTCGACATCAGAAGTAGGGTGATAATATCTTTTAAGTAACTGAGTGGCCCATTTGAAATAACGACCTTTACAGAGTAAAGTAGGCTTTATGAATCAGTTGAATATTACTGCAAAGTTACTCACTAGAGAAACTGTACTAACAACTTTATTAATTATGGACAATTCAAAGTTCCACTCGTCGAATGGGAGGAATTTTGCTTGCTTCGCGGCCGAAAATCTATGTTCCGCTGTAGATTCACAGCAAACCACTTCGTAACGGAGAGTTCCATTTGCGCTGTCTTGCAAAGACGGATTTCGCCCGTACTTTGAGAAAGCGTTGCTGTCATTTCCGATACAGTCGGGCAGCTAGGTGGTCTTCAGCATTTTTTGAGGCAATGTCTGTGCACTTGCACTGTAGCACTTGTTTACAGTCCTAAAATGGCATTGTTTAACTCTGCTCACTCCTTGACTCTGCTGGATGTGCTGCTGCTGGTTTGCATCTCGTTTTGAGCGACAGCAAGAGCACTAGTTCTGTTAGCAGTAGCAGCATCAAGGACGAGCCGTTTATGCTATGCAAAATGGTCCATAAGGAAGTGTTTCCTGGCCCATGGTGTGCACAGCTGAAGATAATTGGCTGCGTCTAGGAAGTTTCCGGTACTGGTTTAGTTACATATGCGTTAACAACTTTTGCAGTGACTTCACGCCGGGCATTCACTTGTTCCACTCACAGATCTGGGTTGGCGCAATCGGAGTGCTTGCTCTAGGATTCCGGCGGCTGCTTCGGATCTACCAGTGAAATTCGTCATTAGACGTTGCAAATGTGGAATTCAATCAGTGCTAATGGTAATTCCAGCGTAAAGTTGCATGACGTGCTTCAGCCACACACTTCGTGTTCAGGGAGCAGGCACCAGGCAGGAACAATATGCCCACCGTAAAATACTGCGAAAGCTTCCAATATATTCCAAAAAATAAAAATTTTAAAAATCTTGTTTTAAAGGGGCCTGAAAATGGTTTTTCGAAATTTTTTCAGCGTTTGGGCTACATCATTGTAAAAGCATTCGCACCAAAAATTAAGTGACACACTTTGTATCAAGGCAGCTATGGGTAGTTATATTTTGTGCTCTTCTTCTTACCAATGCTTTGCCTTCTCAACTCATGAAACACTGAGGCATCGCTGACGACTCAAGTGCAACCGACTGGTTTAACTTCGTCGATTGCGCTAGGCAGCACATGTTGTTGGGCAACAGAGATGAAGTGTATGGAGTGGCTGATATCAGCTCTGCCAGGGACCACCACATTATCAGCTGTTCTTAGTATTAATTCTCCTGGTAGGCAACATTCTGCGAAGACATGAGGACAAGCGAAGTATTTGGAAACGATCACTGATGAGCGTAAACTCGGGCAATGTGGTTGTGTTTTCAGGGGTGAAGTTACAGATTCAAACGCATGGATTCTGGGGTTGATAAGATAGCTAGAGCCCGACACTCATTGCGGTGACTAGCTGTCGCGACTCCGCTCGCTGGCTACCTTGTGAACTTTCACAGCAGAACCTTATACAATGTCACATCTTTGCAAGTCACCAATCACTAGATTTGTGGCACACAATTCAGCAGGGGCAATTCATGTTGCCTGAGTAATGAAACCTTGAGGTAAACACTGACGCGCAGCTTACGTCAACATGGAGCATGTTGTAACACCGGGAGACAACGCTTGCTGCCCGCTGGAGGTTTAGTCATCTTTAGTGATTCCCACGTATCGATTCATAGAATAATAAGTTGCACAGTTCATGCAGAGATCTTAAATCGGTATACAAATAACTACGGGGGCTTATACCCGTGCCACGCGGGCATAAAAAAATGACATTCGGTAGCGAAGGCATTCAGTTCCCGAATGACATTTTTTTCGGCGGCGCTGCTACATGTCCAAAGTGAATTTTCAGCGTCTCCTACTTTTACAATGAACATTTAAGACACGGTCGCGGTAAAAATATAGCGCACGAAAAGCGGGAAAAAAAGTTCAAACAGGCATTCTGAAGCATGTGATAGGCAAGCTCGCGTGCGCATCGCTGCAATTTGCTTGCGACGGAAAATATCACAGAACGCGGCAAGCACCTCACGCAGATTTCAGATTTGCGAGCGAGGTGGTTCACTTTCCAGACGTTTCTTCACAGGTAAACCGAAAGTGAGCGGGATAAAAACGAAAAGAAGACATAGGAGCATGGTGCATAGGAGGCAGCATAGAAAATTGCGGTCAGCTTTCGCACGGCATACTTTTCTGACGCCGTTCTCGGCATCTACGATCGCAGACAATAAACCAACAATGTCTTCGAACGCAAGAAGCCATAAATGCAAGAAGTGATAACTTTTGTTGTGTGAAAGTTTACTGCGACGCTCAACTCTCCAACATCACCATAAGCCGTTAAAGGTTTTCCACCTTTCGAGCGTCAAAGACCGGTCAATTAGTGATACACACTTCCGTGCAGTGGCGGCGGTGCTTTAACAGATAAGCATAAAAAAAAAGAGCGATAGCAACGTGGCTGGTGGCAATGAACGTGCCATTTTGACTCGCTGCTGGCGAGCTTACACCGTCATCTGCAGATAACTGGAGTGACGATGGTACAAGCGCGTCATGGTGCCGTTCGCAAGATCGCCGCCGCCATGTCATGCGAGGGCGCTGGCGCACGTTGCTCGCAAAAAAAGGAACGTATGCTCTCAAGCGCATTATGCGTGTAGAATGAACAAACGCGCGCATACATTGGACTGCAAGCAAACTTGCATGCAATGGCGAGAGTAGCTATGGTAAGCGTCATACTGCACGCAACTAGCCAGGGATGACTGGTTCGACGTGGGGGTACCGTGATTCAGAGAAACGGCACAAGTTCATTGTGAATGGGCGTCATTTAACACGCAAAAAAGCCTAAGAGTTCAGGTTACTGCTTCTACAAGTGAGTGTATTATTCTCAATATTTATAGTTAGTTGCTGTTTATGGATACACAACTAAGCCTTAATATTGCGAAGGCAGTTAAATCTGTAGTTTACTTAGTTAATTTGAGACTTTGCCATATAGAAGTATTACTTTTTATATACAATATGCAAAGATTTCATTATATTTTATTAGCATGCAATTTTGCAGTTTGTAGTGAAGTTGTATATGTATAATTAGTGACGTATGTTATGATACCAAATGCATATAACATATAACCTCTAGAATGTTCTCTGCCAGTATGGCATGAATGCGGTGATTTCTGCACACCCAGTATATTGCCAGACCATAGGCTGTCAGAATTAAAACATTCATGTATTGGTTCTGAATGATGTAGCATTGCTTTTTTGCTAAGTGTGGGATTGTTTTCTAATGTTGTATGTTAAGGATGTATGGCACTCATAGATTATAATGTGACAATTGAGGGCTAAGTAAGGCACAGTTATCCCAGTAGAAAAACACCACCAAGAAGACAGGACCAAAACAGGGCCCTAACCACATTGTTGTAGTCTGTGCCCTTTCTTCATCCTGTCTTCTCAGCGCTGTTTTCCTACTGGTAACGATGAACCATCAGGCCAATAGGCACACTCTGCATGCTTTCATATGTGCCATCTTCAGTATGTGTTGTGTCTGCATAATTACGACTGAGAACACTTGCATCAGGGCCAACATTACCTTAAGTGGCCCCATTCTTAGCAACATGACACACTCATCTCGAGCAGTTGTGCATGCCAGGCAATATACTAAATGTTCCACTGTCACGTTAGAGTGTGTAAGCACTCTACATAAGTTGTCAAAACACTTTTACAACAAAGGTGTTATTACTGTGGTTTCTTACCACTACTTCATATCAACTTCATATCACCAAAAATTATGTTTGTCAGTCATTCCTCAATAGTACAAAGGTAATTTTTTGAAGGAGAGCATAAATGTTATGAGTGAGAATAAATAGATAAAACATTTTTATATAGTGTGACTGCAATTTGCTTCATGGCGGTGTGCTGGTGTGCATAAGTAAGATGGTGAGTGCAGTAGTTAGGTGCACTCGTTAAGATTTGACATTCTAAAATATGACTTACTTTTATTAATAGTAGTTTCTCATCCCTTTTTTTTCCCCTCTCTGGGGGGCTTTGTTGAATGTAAAAGCTATTGCAACAACTGTTCACAAGAGGGCTCACATTATCCCCACTATTTATAGGGTCCAAAAGAATGCACGTGCAGCTGCTGATGTGGACTATCCAGCGTATGGAGTGACAGGGCCGAACAAAGAAGGGGCTTCTCCGACAGCTGATCGCAAGTTAGCCCAAAGTGCCCAGATGTATCACTTTCAGCACCAGAAGCAGCAGATGATTGCTGTTGAGAAGTAAGCACTCATCATCACTTTGAATTGATAAAATATAAAGTTTATTGTCCCTTAGTGCATGCACTAAGGGACAAAGAATCAAAATAACTACCAATATGGATAGGATAGTTAAAATAGCGGAGGAGTTTTACAGAGATCTGTACAGTAGCCGAAACAACCACGACTTTAATACTATAAGAACTAGCAGTAACCCAGATGACACTCCACCAGAAATGATAGAAGAAGTCAGAAAAGCTTTGGAGAGCATGCAAAGAGGCAAAGCTGCTAGTGAGGATCAGGTAACATCAGATCTGCTGAAAGATGAAGGACAGATTGTGTTAGAAGAACTAGCCACCCTGTTTACGAGGTGTCTCTTGACGGGATTGATTGATTGATATGTGGGGTTTAACGTCCCAAAACCACTATATGATTATGAGAGACGCCGTAGTGGAGGGCTCCGGAAATTTAGACCACCTGGGGTTCTTTAACGTGCACCCAAATCTGAGCACATGGGCCTACAACATTTCCGCCTCCATCGGAAATGCAGCCGTCGCAGCCGGGATTCGAACCCGCGCCCTGCGGGTCAGCAGCCGAGTACCTTAGCCACTAGACCACCGCGGCGGGGCTCTCTTGACGGGAAGAGTACCAGAGTCTTGGAAGAACGCTAACATCATCTTAATACATAAGAAAAGAGATGACGAGGACTTGAAGAATTACAGGCCGATTAGCTTGCTCTCTGTAGTATACAAGATATTTACAAAGATAATTGCTAACAGAGTGAAGAAAACATTAGAATTCAATCAACCAAAGGAACAAGCAGGATTTCGAACAGGCTACTCAACAATCGACCACATTCATACTATCAATCAGGTAATAGAGAAATGCTCAGAATATAACCAACCACTATACATAGCGCTCATAGATTACGAGAAGGCGTTTGATTCAGTAGAAATATCAGCCGTCATGCAGACATTGCGGAATCAGGGCATCAACGAAGTATATATAAACATCCTGGAAGAAATCTACAGGGGATCAACTGCTACCATAGTGCTTCACAAAGAAAGCAACAGAATGCCGATCAAGAAGGGTGTAAGGCAGGGGGACACAATCTCCCCAATGCTATTTACCGCGTGCTTACAGGAGGTTTTCAGAAGCCTAGAATGGGAACAGTTAGGGATAAGAGTTAATGGAGAGTACCTTAGTAACCTGCGCTTCGCCGATGACATTGCATTGCTGAGTAACTCGGGGGACGAATTGCAACTCATGATTACGGAGTTAGACAAGGAGAGGAGAAAGGTGGGTCTTAAAATAAATCTGCAGAAAACGAAAGTAATGTACAACAACCTCGGAAAATAGCAGCGCTTCGAGATAGGTAATAGTGCACTTCAAGTTGTAAAAGACTATGTCTACTTAGGGCAGGTAATAACCGCGGAGCCGAACCACGAGATTGAAGTAACTAGAAGAATAAGAATAGGGTGGAGCACATTTGGCAAGCACTCTCAAATTATGACAGGTAGATTGCCCCTATCCCTCAAGAAAAAGGTATATAACAGCTGTATCTTGCCGGTACTTAGTTACAGAGCAGAAACCTGGAGACTTACAAAGAGGGTTCAGCTTAAACTGAGGACGACACAGCGAGCAATGGAAAGAAAAATGGTAGGTGTAAACTTAAGAGACAAGAAGAGAGCAGAGTGGATTAGGGAACAAACAGGGGTTAAGGATATCATAGCTGAAATCAAGAAGAAGATATGGACATGGGCCGGGCATGTAGCACGTGGACAGGATAACCGCTGGTCGTTAAGGGTAAATAAATGGATTCCCAGAGAAGGCAAGCGGGTTAGGGGGAGACAGAAGGTTAGGCGGGCAGATGAGATTAAGAAGTTTGCGGGTATAAATTGGCAGCAGCAAGCACAGGACCGGGTTAACTGGCGGAACATGGGAGAGGCCTTTGTCATGCAGTGGACGTAGTCAGGCTGATGATGATGATGATTAAAGTTTATTGTCAACTTCACTGATCTCTTTCGTGGACTATGTCTTCATGTTCAAAAAACCATCCTCATAAAGTGAAATCAGCTTTGCTCACTTTTTGAGCACTTGACGCCCTTGACATTAGAAAGAAATAAGTCTAAAGCTTTCAAATTGTAATTCCTTCCTGGAATTTCCAATGTACATGCAGTTTTGGATCACATATGGCATATGCAGCTCTTTAACCAATTCATGTAGTACAGCAACAGCTGTGGTTGTTGGCACACAGTTAAAAAGGGATCGGTTGAAAGTAAGCAGGATATGTTGGTTTTACAGTGTATAAAGTGCTGTTTATCGACTCATAAAGTGGGCTCTTTCGGGCAAACCTAGTTCTGTATTTCAAAGCAGAAATGCAGAAAGAACAGACGTTACGGGCGTTCGCACCATGCAGCACAAAGTTTCATTTGCTGCCACGGTGGTAGCATTTCTTTAAGTTTACACAGGTTCTCTCAGTGTTCGATTTTGCGATAATCGGGTTGGGTCTCTGGGTTTTGACTCATGTGATCAGGACGTTGTTTCCTGTCAGGACTGAAACTAGCTGGCTGACCTTTCGCTGCTAGTGAAATGCCAGAAGTTTGATAATCGAAGTGTCCCTCTGTGTTTTTTTAGAAGTATATGCATTTTTGCCACTGCTCCTCAATATAGGCTTGTCAACCGCAATTCTAACTAAATTCAGATTCTACATTTTCTCGGATCATATGTTTATTTTCTGCATTTTTTTCCCGTAAATTTATCAATGAGGTTCCTACAAGAGAATGTTTGTCACATTGCATAATTCGTTCCATCATTAAATGACCCCTGACGCCAACAAGACCCTTTTCAAAATTCAGCGCCACCTATCGAACGAAACTGAAAACGTATTTTTTCTGCCATGTCTTGTTCATCCAAGGGACGCTCAATGACGTACCGTCCAAACGCAGTACACGTCCTGCAGGAACTCAAGCAGTGTCCGTGTGTGCTGCAGGGAACGCTCATTGGCGTCACTGGAACACACAGCCCGCCAGCTCGCATGAGTGAACAAGATATGGCGGAAGAGCCTAGTTGCCAGACTGAATTTTCTAAAGGGTCTATTGGAAACTCTAGATGTTTGTGTTGTGTGATTGTCCTGCATGCAGGGCCACATTTGACCGATTTTTAGTGACGAGTGTTGTCTATATAAGATAATTTATTTTGGTTTTGAAGTAGGGCTGCATGCTCATCCGAGTATTAAGGTTCAATCGACGTTTTCTGTGGTTTGACATAGACAGGGGCCCCCCTCGTGACGCGGTAGAGGTCAAGCAAGTTTGTCGGCGTCAGAACATTTGCAGGGGGCGCGCACAATACCCTCACTGGCATCTGGCGAGGACCTTTATTCGTCATTCCTTTTGCTCTGTTACTAGCTGCTCTGAAGGTGGTTTTGGCTGCGCAATGCTTTTCTTCTTTTTTTTCTGAGGGGGACGCGCTGTAAGCACCGACATCGTTTCATTTTTCACGCTGCCCGCGAGTCCCCTCATTTAAAAACAGCGTGTTCAACGCCAATGAAGCTTGAGCGCATGTAGTCGAAGGTGCTTCTGCACTGTGGGGTGCTAATTTCTCATGGTATTTAGCTGGGTGTTTCGAACTGATGCAATATCGTTCTGAAGTAATGATGCTAGCATTAGTTATATAATGTGTCGTCGGAGCAATTTCAGTTTAATTTCTGCATTACCAGACGCAAAGCTACAAATTACTGTAAAAAAGTCGCAAGCAAAACTTTCGCTGGCAGGGGTCCTTTAATTTCTTGGCCCTATTAAAAGTATTTAGATATGTGTATGGCGGCTACTCTGTGTGTACATGTTTTTTTTTTTTTTAGGGCCCTTTGCCCCTATTGCTTTTCTTGGGTGTTCTTGCACGGCCATGCAATCCTAATCATCTATGTTGGAACAGTGTCCTTAATTGGCACTATCACTGTACCTGTTCAAACTCATTATTCTCGTTTGGTGGTGTTTCCAGGAACCATACTAATCGACACACCTCAGCATCAGATGTGGATACTGAGGAGGAAGAAAATGAGGAAGGGGATTACACAGTCTACGAGTGTCCCGGCATGGCCTCGGTGGGTGTTAGTAGCTTGAAGAGATGAGAAAGAAAAGAAAATACTGCTTTAGCTTACTTGTACACATTAGTGTGCCATTTTAAAAGTATATTGTAGAACAAATTTAAGTTTTCTGAATTTCACTGTGCAATTGGGGTCATGTATACAGTAGACTCTCAGTAAACAAAAAAAAATCTCGTAAAAAGAACTTCTGCTTTGAACAAGGGCTTCTGACAAGACTGGTTTTCTACTCGTATTCTGAGTATTCTCAGTACTGGTCCCTTCTGGTTACATTTAACGAAATTCTACAGTATGCTCAACTTGATGGTTATCATAAAATAACTGCATGTATTGATGATTCAATGAAACGTTTGCTAATCTAAACCTCATCTGAAAACTGTATACGCTTCAGACAGCTTTTTGAGATACTTGGAAGCATGAATTTACCAATGTGTTTCATGAAGGCCCTTTTTCATTTTACAAATTACACACATTATGAAATAGCCTTCCCAGCACTATAAGCCTGCATTGCGTGATTGCGAGACAATCATGACCATGTTCCACTTTGCACATTGTAGTGTTGTACAAGTTTGAGAGGTGTTGAACCATATGTGCAGTCAGTTTTTGAGATTGTATAAAGACACATGCATGTTGTGTGAACACAGCAGATGCACGTAAGCGAGGTTCAAACAATGCATATGTCAATGTGCTGCGTCTGCTACTTTGCACATGCACTAATGCACCAATATGGCATTGTCGGCAGGAAGGTTGTAGAAAAATTTTGAGCCAGTCCTGGTTCTTTTGAAACAAATGGCATGGTTCAGAGGACACCATTAATTCACCAGCAAAACGAAGTGTGTGATGCAGCACCTTGTTGAAAGGACCTTAAAAAGTGGATTCTTGGGTACTGCTGCTGTTGCACAGATGACTAATGACACCCATAGGAGGTCGTATAAGCAAGAAAAAACATTATCTGCCACTAAGTAAGCCTGCCATAGATATTTTTCTTAACTCCCACGGGTATTTATGTGAAAACGTTGATTAATGTTTCCTACCTTCAGGTGGGCTGATTTTCTCCACTTTCTTTTGAAAAAACTTCCAGATGAGCTGTGCACTTCTTAGCTCAAGGCATCTCTGGAAACGAAAAGAGTATTTAATGAAAAATCACAAAGTGCGAGTTCTGGTGAATTTTTTAGTGTAGTCACTTGAGCAAATGCCGCCCAATCAATTTCACATTACATCAAATAGGAGTCAATAGCATCGTAAAAGATAGAAGTTTATTGTACTGGCTTTTGGGCCGGTTTATCATTGTGAACTGTTTCACGAACCATTATAAGAGATTTTATTTTTTTCCTTGGACAACCTTATTCTATAATTATCATATGAGGTAACTTCGACCCTGTGAAAACCTGCTAACTTGTGCTCATGATGACAGGTATAAGTAAGAAAGAGTTGGATAAATTAGTAGTGACTAGAGTGGATTCCAGTTTTCTAGATGTTATAAGACTTAAATACAGGCACATGCGAGATCAGTAGTGTTCTAAATATTGAACTTTTTTTTTTCAATGCTTGTTGGCATCTCTGCTTCATTTAGGGTGGGGAACTGGAAGTCAAAAACCCACTGTTCCAAGATGATCATCCTATTGTGCTGGCCACACCCGAAGATATGAGCAAGACATCTGACGATGAGAGAAAGAAGCGTTCACCCTAAAGAAAGAAAGCAAAAAAAAATGTGCGTGCCGCATCCTCCTCTGGCACGCTGACACTATGTGGTGTCTACCAGGCCACCTGTGGGCTTCTTTACCTGAAACACATTTTCTTGAAGGGCGTAAAACAAGTTGGCTCCTATTATATATACTTTTTTTTATTATTTTTGTGTTTGTAGAAGGCATTGTGTGCAAAGTTGTCTCTGAGTTAGGGGAAAACAATGTTGGTTTGGCACATGCTCCTTATGAAGAGCTTAAACAGCTTTGTGTGTATATTTAGTAAACTTTGTCCAAACCAGCCAGCACTGTAGTGATATCGCATGCACGGTAAGCGTTGCCAAATCTTTTTACATAACAGTCTCTTTTATATGCTTTCATAATTTACCAAGCCTACAAATTTTAGAAACATGTGCCTAGAATTTTGGGGGGATTCTACGATAAAATATACACTACTAGATCTTCTGTTCATAAGCTGCTAGAAGTATATATGACAGATAAATGATAGTGACTACAAACCTGAAAAGTAAGCGTATTGGCTGTTCACACAATCGAGGGACTAAAGTCACAGTAGTGGATGCTGGAAGTGCACATAGTGTGCTGACAGTGTGTACTTGTTTTAATATGGGTTATTAAACTTGTGAATTTTTCCAAAGTTTTTTTTTTTCTCCTGCCTTTGACATTGTTTACAATCACTTCAGTTTTACATTTGCACTTGGCTTTTGCAGGTCATACTTTTTTTAAAAGTAAAAGTATACAGTATGGTTAATGGCAAAAGAAGGTAGTTGTTGATACTGGGTGAATGTTTAACAGCATTTGCTTGCTTTCTGCCTACTGATGCCATAGGCACATTTGAAAAGCCCTTGAGCTTTACGAGTTTCACAATTACTTCTCTCTGTTTTTGTCCCAGCATTTATTTATCTGTTATATTTTCTTTTCTAAGACATATGAAAAGGAAAAATTGCTGTTCTTTTGTTTGCTGTTATTTATGTATGTTCTTAATGTTTCTTCATGTTTATGGCAATACATTCCTTTTTGAAAATTTGGTCAGCACATGCCTTTGCCCCTTTTTTCCCCCAATAGTTGTTAAGAGAGCCCTACTGGGTGTATATTCTACATCGTTGAACGTAGCTTAGCTCTCAGAGGGAAATATTTTCCCTATGGGGTGTTGAAGAAGAAAAACAGAGTTTAATTTTCACCCTACCAGTCAAACTTCTGTGATGTGCTGTGTCCCACACGTCCTCACTGTTTTTCTCAAGTGCATGGTTGTTTTTTGCCAGTTTTAAAAGTTTCCCCCAGTATAGCTGGAACCAGCTCTGAGTGCATTCGAGCAGATGTGATGAATATGCTGTTCTTATCGGGGCCAGAAGTTGGCCTTTGTATTGTGCTGTAATAATTTGATGTTACTGCGTGATCCATGGGTGGTTGAAAAGGTACACTGTTGACTGGAAGCATTCTAGTCATAAGTATTGTCTTTCCATATATTTTACTGTTTTATTTTTTTCCTCCAAGACTTGTCCTTCACATTTGTAGATGGTGAAAAGGGGCACAGTTTTGCAGACTTTGTGAAACTTGGGCAGTACATCTGTCCGAAAGAAAAAGCGAGTCTTCTAGCTACCTTGGTGTCTCACCATGGGAATCTTGCGGCCAATTTTTAGCTCCGCAGTGGCTAATAAGAAAGAATGTTGGTACCTTCGCTACGTTCCACTTTTGATAAAATGGACCGTGGATACTTTGGGACAATAGCCTTCAACTTGTACCATGCTTTTGGTTGCAGGTGTTGCGTAATTGAATGCTTCTGCAATCTCTAATTTTGAGGTGGTCATGACTAAACGTTCAGGGCTGGTAACAGTGTTAGGGAAACTCGCATTGTTGCGGCTTGGAGGCCACAATGATACACACGCCCCTTTGGAAAATAAGCTTGCTCATTGTGAAAGCCTCAAAGCATTAACAGAGCCACATTCAAAAGTTCGCTACTTTAGTCACACATTGTGGCTCTGTTATGTGCAACACAAGAATATGTGCATAGTGCTGCAGTCACAAGTTTGATCTACTGCAAACTCCTCTATGTGCACCAGCACGCTGCACACATTTTTCATCCTGTGGCTTGAAGCTTGAGAGGAACAAGCAAGCCTTGCCAACCAAACAATCAGCTTTCATGCAGCATGAGTCCAACTTTTTTGTGGTTTTACATGAGTGCGCACTAATCATTCTGCTTGCTGTGAGCACTGTCTGCTGCATCCGTCTAGTCACACTCTTGGTGTTTCAACACCTTGCTGTTTGTCATGCAAATTTATCTCGGTGTTCACTCAATGCAATGTTTAAACCGCAAAGTGGGTGACAATCTATTTTGAGTGTATGTTTTTGTGTCCAAGACTGGTACAGTTGATTGGAAAAGACTGGTGAATCACCCATTTTCGTGATATAGTCCAAAGCATTGCAGTGTCAGGTAGTCTCAGAACTTACCCATGGCACTGTATTAGTTCAGTTTGTGTTTTTAGACAATATTATTTCGAGTCATTAAGCCCTCTCTCTCTCAACTCCTCCCCTCCCCCTCGTTTTTTTTTTGCTGTTTTTCTTTTATAGCTGCTTGTTTAAACCAATTTTTTTTAAGGTATGTTGCTTTCTTTTCTTGTCTAGCATGAGCATGGATGGTGGATTATCACTGGCATGGGCATACTGTCCACGCTAGGTAGAGCTCTCTCTTCTGGTTCATTCCTTCGTGTCCTGCAGGTATACTGCAAGCGTTCTGTTCACTAGTCATATTTTTCTTTGTGGCATGTTGCCATAGAAGAAATTGGGTGGGGGCTGTTTTGTGTTTACTGGCTTTTCCGAGCAGACGGCAGAATTTCTTGCAGTTTTACTACTTTACAGGTTATGAGGCAGGTTATACATTCCTGGTTGAACGGGAAACAACTGCTAAAAGCTCAGCAGAGAACTGTTCACTTATGGTGTTCTTTTGTCTAGTACTTTCTTTGGATGTTTTCAACAAGAACCGACAAGTGTTACATTTTCGATGACTGCTGTTTTTGCTTAGTCTGAGCAGGAAAGCTTGCGGTTTTCTTGCACCAGTTTAGTAGTGTAATGCCATCATCGGAATGTTGCGCCTCTGGCTATGGAGATGGTGGCTTGCCCCCACTAACATACAGCTTGTGTTGCTTTATTCCTGTCTGGTTAATTTATGGAGGATGCACTGCAACATGGCTTTATGCATCCTACATGGTGAGATACCGTCACTCTTTCTCTATTGTCAGTGAAGAAACAAAGGCTTGTGACATACTGCTGTGACCTACCTACTTATTATTCTTAATTGCAACTTGTGCTGCACCCAGGCAGAGCATTTGCAGATGACATCATATCCTTGTATGTTTGCATGAGTGCTTTGATTAAAATGATTGGGGCATCCGTGTGCGCATCAAACTCTTATTGATTGTGGCATTTATTTTCAGTTAGCTGCAAATACAAGGCTGTACGCCATTTTGAGTGCTGGTAAAGAATCCTCCACAATGACAAAAGCATTAGAATATCGATCCAAGTGAAATGTGGCCTTGTTTTTTTTGGAAGTTTCATAATTGTACTGTTCGTAGATTATTTTTTTAATATACCTGTTGTGGTTGTTGTAAAAAAGGACCTAGAGGGTATTTTCTTTCTTGGTTTTATTTTTTTGGTTTTGGAAAATCTTAAATAAGCCTTAAAAGGCTATCATTCAAATGTGCATATAGAGAGATGTATTCTATGCATTTATTGGTGTAATTTTCTCGGCATTTGTGTATGCATGCCTCATCAAATTTTTACTGATCTTTCATGTTTTGCTTCATTTGTTGCTGTACTAGCTGTATTGCATGATAGCATAAAGTTCTGTGTAAGGGTAAGGTTTCAGCATGTCTACCATTCAGGCCTATGAGGAGAAAAAAAAAATGATGAGAACTTGACCCTCCCATGAGAACACAATGTCTTGTCTACCTGAATATTACTAAAGAAGGTATGCATTGTTGTCATTGCTGGAACTTGCTCGTTTGCCATGGTTGTTGCTTTGTGCTATTAAAGAAACTTATATTGTCAAAAGATGTATATTAGATTGTGATATTGCATGTAGTATATGGGGGCTTCAAGCAGTTGCCAAGTTTTTTTTTTCTGCATTTGCTGGATCATAAGAGTAACTTGTGTTTCAATGGCTCTACAGCTTCAAAAGCTCTAATGTATTCACTGCAAAGTAAAAGAGGATTGTATTGTTTATGTATGCATTGATAATTGTGGTCAAAGAGGCTAACAAAGACATGTGTAGCCACTGAGCCTTTGAAATTCATGAAATGTAGTTAAAAGTGACCTAAGAAGGTGACATTCTTAGATTAATTTAAATAATCTGTGTTCTGCAAAAGTTGAAGAAATGTGCACAACAAGCTGTCCGTTATTTCTTGGTAGCTTCATGAAGGGGCCTCCACTAACATGCAGTATTTATTCGAGTATTGTTTTTTAGGTCTTGTCCAAGCCCCGCCGCGGTGGTCTAGTGGCTAAGGTACTCGGCTGCTGACCCGCAGGGCGCGGGTTCAAATCCCGGCTGCGGCGGCTGCATTTCCGATGGAGGCGGAAATGTTGTAGGCCCGTGTGCTCAGATTTGGGTGCACGTTAAAGAACCCCAGGTGGTCTAAATTTCCGGAGCCCTCCACTACGGCGTCTCTCATAATCATATAGTGGTTTTGGGACGTTAAACCCCACATATCAATCATAGGTCTTGTCCAAAATGAGCTGCGGTCTAAATCATTACCAAAGAATCTTGATGTATTATGAACTTACTTAAAACAATCCCGTTGATGTGGCTGCTATTCTTCAAGTAGCACAGACTGCTTAGGCACATTGTGTATATGCATTTGAAGTAAATAGCAGCACCTAAAAAAAACATGCAGAAAACAATTGAATGCAACTTGATTTGACTAGCCAGATTTGGTAGCATAGCATATAGCAAACACAGGTGTGTTATGTTGAAAGTTAACATCCTAAAAACTGTATTGGTCAGCCTATATTCTATTTATTTATTTATTTAATAATATACAAATGTAGACCCACACTTCTGTGGAAACTATTTTCGAGTAAACATGGTGTGTACTATATGGATCTAGCGCTTTATCAATAAAGTGCTTCATAGAACCAGATTCACATTTAAGATAAGGTGAATGTGGTTCTCTTAGGTGAAGTCATTTGAAGAAGTATTCTGTAGTCGACCATTATTATATGTCCTGGCTGTACCTTGGGCAGGGGAATTCACACCTATCAAAACTATTAAAACCCTAGCATTATCATTAGAACTAGGCTGTATAGTCTGGTTTTCTATTTATTTACTACTCGGCTTATTGGAATTACTCTACTGTGCCAGAAGTTTCACTTGTATACAAATATGTAGCTACCTTGAAAGCAAAGGAAACTTGTGATTGCCTGTAATATTGTTACGGGAAGGATTCTTCAGCTCCATGCACTGGCACGTAGCAATATTTTTTGGGGGAAAATGCATTGGGTGGGTTGCAAGTTCTTTGGCTGTGGAAATTGCTTCTCAAGCATTTCAAGGCTACCTTAGAGAGCTTAATTTGGAAGGAGTGATTTACTGGACATCCTTAAGCAGAACCTCGGCACTATTAATTGTATGGCTACAAAGAGGAAAACTTCCTATTCCTTGAGCCGCGTGATGCCCTGCACCATCTTTCTCACATTTTGGCACAGTTGGTTGCACTGAATTGGTTAGAACTTTTTTGGCTAAAACATTGGGAAAGCCATTCCTTTTTTCCCCTCTCCCCATGCTAGCTGTGTTGAGCAAGCATACATGGGTAGCTTAAGTCACTGGTGTTTAATGTTGCAAAGTGCGCTGCCCTCGATAGTGGGTACTTTAAATGCCCACTGTGTTGCATTATGGTTAGTTGCACTTGGCGTGTGCTGATAGGCCAATTCATATCACACTGTGAACAGTTGGCTGTTGGGGTAGACCCCTCTTTTATCTCGTGAATGCTTACTGTGTCATATATATATATATATATATATATATATATATATATATATATATATATATATATATATATATATATATACAAGACTTGTACTATCTATTTGTGTCTTGATCTGTGAATATGATCTTAAGTATGAAATAAAAGTTCTGCAATCTCGTTTAGTGCAGTTTCAGTTAACTTTTTCAAATTAAATGCTTTTTTAGGTTGGAGCTTGCAGTGAAGAAGGCTTTCTTAAAGGTAGGTATTCGCTGCACACTGAATATTTGCATGCTCAGTCACTGTTCAAGCTTTTCCATGACTGGTAATGAGTACCTTGTTCGAGTAGCTAGAACACAGTGAAATCTTGTCGCTGTACTGCATGATTGCAGGGTCAGTGTTGCTCAATCGAAAGCCCTATTCCAAATTTTTCTAAACGTTGTTCTGCGATTTAAGTATGTTGGCAAAGAACCAAATTTTGCGATCAAAGGAAGTTAGTACCTGCAATACATGAATGCAAGAAATATTATCATTGGCACCATGCAATGGAGCAAAAGCCACAAGTTGTGTTGTGGCAGCTGCATTTGCACAGAAACATATGGTTTCACAACTTCATAATGCCTATAGTGTATACAATTAATTCTGTTACAACTTTATTATGCAGAAATGTTCCCATGCTTTTATAATGGCCTTTATTATTTAATATACCTAATTAATTAATAATGTCTCGTATTGTATGTGAATCAAGGATTGCATGAAAGTGATAATCTCATTTGAGATTTTCGTTTAAAGAAGTACAGACACCATTTTTTGGAGGGGAGTTTACTCTGCCATACACATCTACTGTATGTGGAGACAGTTCAGAGCAAGTACGAAGCTGAGCAAATGCTAATTTGATATTGAAGCCACTTTTTCTCTGACACACCTACAGACATCAGCACTAGCTTGACGTCAGGCTACATTGCTAATTCTGGTGACTTCAGACAACAGTTTGACTAGTTGTGATGGTGTTGGGTACCTAAACTTACAAAAATGGCTGCTTGTGCACCACCCAAAACAATTGAAATGGTCGCTTCTAAGTCGCGAATGGATCCACAGAGCGGAACTGCTGTGCAAATGTCGGGACATCTTGCGCGTGCACTTGTGAAGTAGCTCATACCATGTGGTGCCGTCAGGGTATGGTAGAAATTGAAACTAGCTTTTAAAGACACTCAAATTACTTTCTTCGGACGCACTCACGGTTAACTGTGCATTTTTTAGGCTCTTGAATGCTAGGCCTTTCATTTGACAAAAAACACCACTAATGAAAACTTTCGTGTCAGTACCCCTTTAATATTTTGCAAGAAAACCATGTAAGTGCTCCAGGAAATTAACTTGGAATGATCTTTGCATAAGCCAGCAAAAGAGTGGACACTTCAACCTTTTATGCGTTTGTTTGCTCGCATCATGGCGAAATATTCGGAAGCATGTACTTTCTGCGTAGCCAAGGATGCCACCACCTTCGCCCCCTGACAAGCAATGATGGTCAGGGGGCAGGCGGTGAGGTGTCGAGCAGGCGGTAAGGTGAGCATCAGAATATCGGGATGGGTCAGGCGGATATGCCGATGCACTCTTGCTATCTGCAGCACGTCTTCTAATAGAACACGCTGACATGCAGTTTCGCCCCGTTTGGCCACAGCTTGTGTAATTTATTTTACTTTTTGAGCACCTGCACAGTTCCATGTATACTCTTGGGGTAAAAATGGCTCGGCGTGACTGCGCACCTCAGAGTGCAGCTAAACCTGGCACAGCTGTGCATTGAACTGCAGCGATGCATGCGCACAGGGTATCACGGTAGTGTTTTCATGCCATCTACTACTGCACTGGAGCATGCGGTTTCATTGTAGCCACTGTGGCCGCGGCACCACTTGCTTGGCTGTAGTACAGCAAGAGTGGCACTCTCAAGTATGCGTATGCCACTTCGATTTGATGTACAGCTGCTTTGGATGCAATGGCTATTTGCAGAGCATAGACACACTGATTTCTGTTCACCCTGAGAGTGGATGGCATTGTGCATGGGTGGTCAGTATTTCTCAGGCTATTCTGCCATAGGATTACATGGGTTAGAGGTCTCAAAATTTTTGACCTCCCTCCTACATGTTGTCTACACTGCCCAGTGGGTGTCATTGCAGCAGATCAGCACAGTGTGCAAGGCTGCCTTGTTACCACAAGTTTGATCATCTGATTGACTGATAATGTTCCTAGCTTTGATTACAATGCACAGTCGGCCAGATGGTGGCACACTAAGCCACTAAATGTCGGCTATTTTGAGAGATGGCCACAGTCCTGTGGTGTTCCATATGCTTAGTTAAGTGAACCCTACAGAGAAACACTAAGTAAATTTAGACTCTTAAAGATTTTCAAACCACTTATATGTCTTAATTTAATAGAACTCCAATACCAAGAAAAGAAAATGCTGGTAAAAGTTCAGTTTTGCATTTTTCACTGAAGCTACTGTCTGTTACAACACTGAGGATTTCAATGTGGTACAACTATTATTAAGGGTTCTTAGGTGCTGCAAGTGTTCTTGAAAATAGCTTCAGTTTTTTTCATATGTTTCAGTGAATCAAGTGCAACTTAACCGTTAAAAAATGCAAAACCCCAAGAAATGCAGTTCTGAGTTTTATGACATTGTATAACTGGTACTGATTATTCAAGGTCATGTCACCACTCATCTTTCGTTTTTATGTGTTTTGTGGGATTATGAAGCCAGCTGTTGCATCGAGATTACTTCTTTGTTATCGTAGAAGGTCGAGTTATTGTAAAAGAAGAAGCGCCAACCTCAATAAAAATACTTGAAAACGAAACGCTATGTTTCGGCTCCCACATGTTGGTAGCCTTGCTCACAAAACGATACGTTTCAGCCCCACACAGGAGCCGAAATGTCTCGTTTTGTTTTGAATTGTTTTCATTGTGGTCAGTCTTTTCTCTTCTTTTGCAATGCCTCCTCTCAAGCAGACAGGATTCTGTCAAACCCTGGATTCCAATATTAGGTTACTAACACATTGAGCTTCTTTTTCTTTATGGTAGTGTCCTTGTAAAGGCCCCCTAAATTGCCAGAATGTAAAAGTTGTTACGACAGTGGCAGCTCTGTACCCATACACAGTGAACTGGCTGCATGAATGTGTTTTTTAAATGATGCTCTAATAGCAAAGGTACAGGCATTTCACAAATTATGTTGATTCAGTTGTTTCATCTTTTTTATCACTACTCACAGCACTTTCTTCTCTCTTCCCTCTTTTCTTGTGCACACAGGGCTCTATTGGGGGAACTTTATTGTGTATAGAAAAGAGTGAAGGAACACAGAGTGCATGTGTTCATTATTATTTTTTTTTGCATCAAATGAAAAACCAAGTCTTCAAGAGACTAGATATTTTGCTGGTAAGCATGAGTGCACCCTGAAAAATTAATTACACATTCTTAAAAGCTGTTTACTTTTCCGTATATGTATACCTTCCATCCTAGTACAGTCAATAAACTG